ACCTCTCGACCACGTCGCCGGCACCGGTTGTTCACCGAAATCGCGCTCGTTCGCGCCCGGGGCCCGCGGAGGGCCCCAATTAGAGGCTGAGGGCCTCCAAAAGCCTCCACCGTAGTTTTGCCGCGGACGAGATCAAGGTACACGCGTTAACCCTGGGGCCTCTGGGGGCGCCCCGAGGGACCTCTGGGAGCCTCCGGCAACCTGCGCAATTCCCGTGAACCCCAGCGGGCCCGCAGAGGCCCCCGAAAGCTTCCACGGCCACCGACGGCGACTGTTGCAGCGACGAAGACGCGGGCAACAGCGGTAAGGATTACTGGCGCAAGGACCCGACGTGGTTGTTAGTTTCCTTGCAGAGCCGCTCATTGTGCCTTCACCTCCTCATTGTCCCCCTCCTTCTCCGTCCTCCCCCCCCATCGCCCCCCGCCTCTCAACTGAGCTCTCCAGGCCGCTCCGCGCCCGCAATGCGCGCGCGCAGATTCTGAGAATAACGCGGCGCGCGTCGTCGACGCCGGTCATGTATACGGTCGTCGGTCATGCGTCAACATTGTCGCGTTCATCCATCCCCCCCCCTCCGTCTCCCCCACCGTTGTTCCCCTCCACCCCTCCTCGTTGCCCCCCCCCCCCCCCCTTCCTGCAACTCGCCCTCCTGCGTCCAACCACGCGCCGCGACAGGGTGGGCGCGAGGGAGGGCTGCGCAATGAACGCAGAGAAACGAAAAGCCCGTCCGCATCCAAAACCGACGGCGCCATCCATCGCGCATGCGCACTCAACGCGGCCGGTGAGCAATGGCGCCTTCGCCAGCTCACCGACGCAAGTTGGCATATCAGGTCGATTTTGATTGGATTCGGCGCGGGGCCAGGTCGACGCTGGGCGGACGGACCAGATGCGACATCGTGGCCTGTCGCGAAGCGTCGGCATATAACGAGCCGCGGCGACTTCGCCAGCTGACCAGCGCAAGGTGGAAGAGGAGATGGAAAAGAAGCAAGAACCCGAACGACTGACACAGGAATAAATCGTTCGGGCCTCACTGTCAGCCGAGATTTCATATAAAAGGGTCGGAAAAGGAGAAGCAGGAACAGGGGGGCGAGAAAGTAAAGATACACAATGGAAAACAGGGAACATAGAAAGCAGGAGGACGACAAGGAGAAAGCGGAGGCAGGGAATGAAAGAGAATACAAGCCCGAACGACTCACGCCAGAAGGCGAGTCGTTCGGGCCCTTCAAGCTGTCGAGATGTTCCGAAACGGGGCGGATGAGGAAGAGAAGAATCAGCGCGGCGCGGGCGGGACCGCGTCTCGGCGGGGCGCCATGGCCGAGCCGCGGGCGCAAGCGCGGCCGGCGTCGCCCCCCCCCCCCCCCCCCCCCCCCCTCGAGCCGAAAAGGTCTTCCTCTGTCCGTTCTCTGCGCTTGGCCTCCCCCCCCCCCCCCCCTCGAGCCGAAAAGGTCTTCCTCTGTCCGTTCTCTGCGCTTGGCCTCGTCGGCTCCCTTCCCAGCCCCCGCCCCCCCCCCCGCAGTCCCCTTTCTCTGTGCGCGCGGGGGGGCCCTGCATCAGCCTCGAGGAACGCGAAACGCTGTCAGCGCCTGCTCATCAAAGACCAGGATAGGTGGCAGCTGCGGGATTCGGACTCAAACCCGATCGTCGGGCGCGCGTCTCTTCTGCTTCCAGGGTGGGCGCGGCCCTTACCTGGGCACGAAGCACCCTGCTGGGGGGCGCAACCTCGGTGAACGCAGAGAAACGAGAACCCGTCAGAATCCTGCACTTGGCGATCCCATCAATCGCCAATGCGTTCTCAACCCAGACGATGAGCAACGGCGACTTCACCAGCTCACCAACCCCCGATGGACTGAGGCCCCCTCGCCAACCACCAACGGAGCGCACCAACAATGCATCCCTTGGTTTGGGGTCGGCGGCAGAGTCGGCACCTTTAAATAGTTTAATATGCCCTGCGCAATCTATTTGGTCAATATGTGGCGATGGCCACGTGGTGCAAGTGATTTTTTACCGATGAGTTGACACGCGCCGTGCTCTTGCAAACATCCCACCCACCCACCCGCAACTTGGTTTGCAAAACCCATGCGGTTGCGATTGCGATGCATGCTTGGCGTTGGCTGGTGCATCTCTGCGGCCGCGCCAACCCTGGCACGCGCGCGCAGCGGCCAGCTAGTTTGGCGCCACCGACGCGGCCACGGTAGCGCTGACCGCTGGGCGCATCCTGGCGGACACTTCTCTGCGAATCGGCAACTTGGGCGGGCTCGATGGCAACGCCGACTACGATAGGCACGATGATGATAGTGGCGATGCTGGTGACGATGTTCGTTCGCACCGACGAAGGCGCTGCCGGTGCGGGCGCCGATGCTGATCACGCCGACGACGATGACGGCGTCCTCGCGTCGGTGATGAAGGTTTTGGAAAGAGTTCGACATGCGCGCGCGGCCGACGCGCGAGAGTTGCCCGCGTGATTTTTTTGACGCGGATCGCGCCTCCGAGCACACGCGCAAGGGCGCGCGAATGATGTCGGCATGCGGCGCCAGAGGCCCTTTTGGCATAATTCCACGAACATATTGAAGACCAACATATAGCTTTCTCAAAGAATGCGCAAAAACGCGCAAGCTTTGCTTGGACAACTGATGTTGCAATACCATGTGTTGTTGAATGTTTGTGGGACATTCGGTTTTGAAGCCGCTACGAAACCAATGGTTTTTGAAGGATTCCAGCATGCGCGCGCGACGACGCGCGCGTGCGCACTTCTTCCCATTTGTTGCGAAGGATTCTCGCGATGGCACGCGCGCCAGGGAGTTCGAACGGTTTCGACATGCACGCGTACGAAGCCCGTTTAATATTATTTTCTGAGACTGCTGAAAGGAGGAAAAAAGTATGGCTGTAATACGAGTTTTTTGTTGAAAACCCGCGTTGCGAAACCACTTGTCTTTATGTGTTGTTTGGACACTCGATTTTGAAATCGTTCTGAATCCGACGGTTTTTGAAGGATTTCGGCATGCGCGCGCGACGACGCGCGCGTGTGCACTTCGTCACATTTTCCCAATGATTCATGAAACATGGGAATTCTTGAACAACGAATGTGCGCGCATAGCGCTTTTGCAAAGGATGGCTTGGTGGGTCGAGACCGGTTGGGCTGAGATGGTACGAGGTCATATTTCGGATCGGCGATGGGGCAGAATCATGTGTAAATTGCAGCACCAAAAAGTTTACAGATAAAGCCGGGGGGGGTAGAGTCTATTCTCTGTTTGAAAAGGAGAACCTATGTGGCGCAGTTGATTTGTTACCGATGAATTGACACATACCACGATCTTGCAAACATCCCACCCACCCACCCGCAACTTGGTTTGCAAAACCCATGCGGTTGCGATTGCGATGCATGCTTGGCGTTGGCTGGTGCATCTCTGCGGCCGCGCCAACCCTGGCACGCGCGCGCAGCGGCCAGCTAGTTTGGCGCCACCGACGCGGCCGCGGTGGCGCTGACCGCTGGGCGCATCCTAGCGGGCACTTCACTGCGAGTCGGCAACTTGGGCGGGCTCGGTATCATGGCAACGCCGACTACGATAGACACGATGATGATAGTGGCGATGCTGGTGACGATGATCGCACCGACGAAGGCGCGGCCGGTGTGGGCGCGTGATGCAATATACGCTGTGCATTTTTCGTGGTGCAATTTATGCGGTACAATCGCCGCGACGAGGCGGCAACAGGGCGGCGATGGAGGCAACATAGCCGCCAGACCAGCAGATAAGCCCAGACGATGGGCGGCGACGAGGCGGCGACGGGGCGGCGACGCCGGCACCACAGCGGCCAGACCGGCAGACAGGCCCAGACGACGGGAGGCGACGAGGCGGCGACGGGGCGGCGACGGCTGCAGCATAGCCGCCAAACCGGCAGACAGGCCCAGACGACGGGCGGCGACTGGGCGGTGACGGGGCGGTGACGGCGGCAACATAGCCGCCAGACCAGCAAACAGGCCCAGTTCCTTAGAGGAGAAGTAAGAGCCCCTAAGTGCAAGCACTGCTTGGGGAACAAGACTTAGCAACCCAGATAATGTAGATACGCCACAATAAGGAATCAAGGCCAATCAACCCCAGGAAACGCCAGCCGGCCAGGCTGGGGAACCCCTACGCAGTAAGGAAACACAGCAAAGCATCCCAGGGAACGACACTCTAGGGAGACAAAAGCGAAGCAATCCTGGGGAACGCGGGCCGACCAGGCTGGGCACGCACCAGCTCTTCACAGACAACCGAACTCCCTTCGGTCAAGCCGAAGTGGGGAATGAGAAACTGCACAGACATACGCTGTCCAAGGCCCGCGCGGATTTCTTGGATCGGCGCTGAACCCTCCTCCCCTGGTCCGCTCCGCGTGCCCAGAGCGGCGCCGGAGGTGCCGCTATTGTGCGCGGGGGAGGAAGGGGGTCCAGAGCCGACCGAAGAAAACTGCGCGTAGCTCCGAAAATTGGTGTTTGGGCATTCTGTCGGTCCTCTCCTTCTCTTCCTCCTCCTCCACCTGGGCCGCCCCCTCCTGTTCCTCTTCCTCCTCGAAAGGCCTCCTCGATGTGCCTCCTCCCCCTCCTCTGTGCTTCCTCCTCCTCCTCCTCCTCCTCCTCCTCCTCCTCCTCCTCCTCTTTGCACTCCTACTCCTCCTCCCCCTCCTCCTCCTCCTCCTCCTCCTCCTCCTCCTCCTTTTCCTCCTCCTCCGCCCCTTCCACTCGACCGGCAGGAGTCCACATCCTCCTCCCCGGGTCCTCCCCCCTCTGATCCTTCTCGATCCCCATTCCCATGCCCTCCCCCTCCCCCATCCTTCCCCCTGCTCCCCTCCTCCTCCACCTCCTCGATCCTCCCCCCCGGTCGCTCGGTCGATGAAGGCTGCCTGGACATCTGTAGCCCAACGATCCTCCTCCTCCTCCTCCTCCTCCTCCTCCTCCTCCTCCTCGACCGTCCTCCTCCTCGACCCTCCTCCCTCCCGATCTCGACGGCCAGGGCGCCCCCCGCCCGCGCCGTGGTCTGGCCACAGGTACGAGGCCGCGCCCGCCCCGCCCTCGCAGCGCCCCGCCACGCTGGCATGGGTCACGCCCTCTCCGGCGGCTTCGGCGGCGGCCGACGACCGGCGACCAGCGGCGGCGGCGACGTCGGGCGACGTCGCCGACGTCGTCGACGACGACGACGACGGACTGGCGACGACGACGACGACGACGACGACGACGACGACGACGACGACGGGCGGACGGACGGACGGACGGACGGACGGGTGACGACGACGACGACGACGACGACGTCGACGACGACGACGACGACGACGACGACGGGCTGGCGACGACGACGACGACGACGACGACGACGACGACGACGACGACGACGACGACGACGACGGGCTGGCGACGACGGGCTGGCGACGACGCGTCGAACGGCGGCGCCATGCGGCGGCGATGGACGACGACGACGACGCAGATCCAGCCCTCCGACGACCGAGGCTCCGCAGTCTGGGCACCTCTCCTCGAGCTCGGCCGTGCGGGGCCCGCTCTCGGGCCCCTCGCCACCGCTCGGACGTCCATTCCCTGTGCTTGTTTCGGTCTCGTGCGTGGCTCTTTCGCCAAATCGTCAAGGATGCTCCTCGACGGCCCTCGCCGAAGGAAACATGCACGCGTCCGAGCGACGCCCCGGGTCCAGCAGGAGCGGGCCCGGGGCGGGACGCTGCCCCTGGGGGAGGAGGAGGAGGAGGAGGAAGAGGAAGCGGAGGAGGAGGAGGAGGAGGAGGAGGAGGAGGAGGAGGAGGAGGAGGAGGAGGAGGAGGAGGCCCCTGGGGCGCGGGGTCGGCCGACCTGGCCCCGACGCCCGCTGCACGCCGGGCGCCTTTTCATGGGCAGGGCGGGGACTCTTCGGCCCTGCGTGTCGAGCTCCTTCGGTGCCGATCTCTCTGCCGTGCCTCTGACTACCTACCAGACCACCCCAACCCAACCCGAAGACCCGAATTTGACCCGGATCTCGGGTTGGGGGGGGGGCACGGAGCCCATGTGTTTCTGCAGTGTTCCCCGACGCCCCCCCCCCCCACTGGAAATCGAGGATAAGTTTGGGCCTTCGGGTTGGGTTGGGGTGGTTTGGTGGGTGGTGAACCTTGCTGTCGCTGCTTCCGGCGCGCGCTGGTGGAGATGTCCGTCCTGCTCCTCGGAGGCGGGGAATTCCCAAAAACAGAAGCGTAAGCCAGAAACCAACCAGAATCTGGCGGATCTGGAGCTGGCCATCGCTCGGAGGTCCATCCCCCATGTTTTTTTCGGCATCGTGCGTGGTTTTTTTCACCAAATGATCAAGGATGCTCCTCGATGGTCCTCGCCGAAGGAAACATGCACACGTCCGAACGATGCCAAGTCTGGGGCCACGGATGATAAATTTTCACCGCGGACGCCGCAGACGGTGACGCGAACGACGACGCGGACGGCGGCGGAAGCGACGCGGACGACAATCACGACGAAGACGGCGACTATGATGGCGAGGGGGGCAAGAGAAGGATGAAAGGATAAGGGGGAGGAAGAGGAGGAGGAAGGGGAGGGGGAGGAGGAAGAGGAGGAGGAGGGGGAGGAGGAGGAGGAGGAGGAACAGGAGCAGGAGGAGGAGTAGGAGCAGGAGCAGGAGGAGGAGAGGAGGAGGAGAGAGGAGGAGGAGGAGGAGGATGAGGAGGAGGAGGAGGCATCTTTACCCAACTTAAGCCCACCAGGGCCAATATCATCAGGACGTACAGGTAGTAAGTTTGGTGCTCTCAGCATAGGTTCCAAGGAACGTCTTGGGCTCGAGGATTCCCGAGGGACCATGGCGGCCAAGAAAACGGCGAAAGCCGTAGAAGTATGAGGCTCGACTGTCCGTTAAGCGGATAGGGAACGAAGGAGAGTGCGGGGCGCGCGCGCGCGTTGTTTTCCGTCCGATCCCTAACAGCTAGGGGACGGTCAACTCAATGTTTAAGGATATGCATATCTGTACATCTGCGGCGGCAGGGAGCGTATGGCAACGACTCCCTCCGCGGCGGCCCGGCCGCAGAGGCCGGCCAGGGCCGACGTAGCACCATCGGGACCTAACGTCTCCGACGGCGCCACATTCAAGCAGGCGCGGGCGCGAGCCTCTCAAAGCCGTCAACAGCCCTGCTCGCCACGTCATAATCACCATGTTGCCATGGTCATATGGTGTCTGTGCCGTTGCAGCCACCAGCGCGCCATGGGCGCCTGGCGCTCACCAGTGCCATCCGCCATCGCGGCGCCATGGGTAGCCTCTGTCGTCATGGCGGCGATCTTCCCAGCTCTCATGACCGCCCTTGCCGCGGTCATCCTTGCCTGGACCCTTGCTCCTGGTTCGGCTGGAGGTGCCCCGCCACGCACTCCAGGCGCGATCTATTAGGGGTCGACTTTGCCTCCTGTCACGCCATGGGCGCGGATCGGGTTCGGGCCGATAGTGCTGGGGCGCGGATGAGGCGGCGCCGCTCGGGGCCGATCGGCGGATATCCGCATTGTGGCACGGGCGCGCCGCATGCGGGGATGCCGCGCGGCTGCCCACCCCTTCGCGGGGCCTCTTGCCCTTCCCTGTCTCTGCCGCCTCCGGGGGCGGCGGGGCAGCGCCACTCGAGGCGCTGCCTTTGCCGTGCCCCTTTCGCGAGAACGCGGCCGCCCTGTCCTCCTGTGCTGAGGGGGTACTGAGGGCGCGTTTGCGTCTGACAGAGCGGGCTGCCCTGGCAGTCGTTGCCTGTGGTTGGTGTCGCCGTGCCTCTCCTGCCATGGGCAGTCGCGAGGTGGGGCCCTCCTCTTACGGTTCCAGCGTCACCACCCCATGTTGTTGCCACATATTCAGGGCATACACTGCAGCCTCGTACACGCGAAGCGGCCACTGTTCAACAGCGGCGTACTGGAAATTGTCTGGCGTCGTCCGCAGGCCACGTTTGAGTGCCGCTGCCTGCGACTGTTGTAAGAACTGCATACACGCCTCGATCTTGTGTGCATCCGTGGAGACTTGCGTTATGTCTGTTCGATGCTGGTAGATATCTCTGTACACCAGCTCCAGCATCTCGCGGCGTGCCCTCATGAGGTTGATCTCACGCACCAACTCGGTTCGGTACTGATCAACTTCTTCGAGGTGAGTACGCATGGCGTCCTCATCCGCATTCGCTCCGTCGGTCTCCGTCCAGTGAAAATCTTTGGTTAGCTCAATGGCAACCCTGTAGATTTGTTCCGACATCCATTTCGTCTTTACATTGTACACATCTGGATCGTAAACGGAGAATTCGAGGCTCGTACCACATGCGGCGTATCTGTGCCTCGCAGGAGGCGATGGTAGCCACCTGGTGGTACTCCTCGGGCTCGCCATGGACGGCGAAGTACGTAACGAGCTCGTTAGCTGCCCTCGTGATGCGGTGTACATCGATCGGTTGCATGTTGTCAGCATGGTGAGTTTTGCGATGCGGGGCGCAGGGTCTGTCCCGTTTGCGCATGGCGCGTCCTCCAAATGCTTTCGCTGCATCTTCCGATCGGAGACGCCGTTTCCGACTGCGCGACCTGCCGCGTCTGCCATGGGCAGGAGCAGATGGCCAGACCAATTATTCCTTTTCTTCTTCCTCCTCGATGCCGGCCAGTTCTTCTTTTGGTAGCCAGTGGACTTCAATTTCCTCTTGAATATCATGGAGGAATTAGAAGGGCGAGGCCGGGGAGAGGGATGCTTCTGATGATGGTGACGAAGATGGGGATGATGATGATAGTGATGATGAGTAGGAAACCAGGTGACTCGGATGATTGTACTGATGATGGCGATGATGATGGTGACGACGGTGATGGTGGTAATGATGATGAAGCTGATGATGACGATGCGGGTGGTGATGGTGGCGATGATGATGGTGATGATGATGATGAAGATGATGATGGCAATGCTGATGAGGATGGCGATGATGATGACGATGGTGAAGATGAAGATGGTGCCACTGATGATGGTGATGGTGGTGATGATGCCTGTGATGATGGTGATGATGATGATGATTACGAAGATGGTGAAGCTGATGGTGATGATGATGATTGACGACGGCGATGACGATGATTGCCGAGCCCGCTGGAGCGCGACAAGTTGGACTGGCGCCGAAGCACGCACTCCCCTCCGCTCCATCGCCCCGGCGCCGGGGGCCGCCACCAGGAGCAGGTCTGCCAGCCGCGCCAGTGGCGCGCTGGACACCCGCGAGGCGATCCGTCGGCACCCTGCTGCCCGCCCAGCTCGCTGGGCAGCGCTGCCACGCGGCAGGCCGCCGCCGCGGTCTCTCGATAAAGGAGGGGGAGGAGGAAGAGGAGGAGGAGGAAGAGGAGGAGGAAGGGGAAGGAGGAAGAGAAACCGCGACGAACTGCTGCGCCGCCGCGCCCAGGCGCCCCTCGGCCTCCACGGCGAAAGCCACGACCGCGGCGCGGTAGCGGTCGCGCTGCTGGCGCTCCGCGTCCGCTGGCCCCGACTCCGTGGACGCGCGGGCCGCGACGTCGATCCACGCCGGTGCCAGGGCGCCCAGCCAGCTGACGACCAGTCCATACGCGCCTCCTCGATAATGCCACCGTCGTGCATGCGGTGCAATTCGGGCACGCAGCGCTCGATGTCGACATGCCCGCCGTGGGAAGAGATCCACTCGGCGAGGGTCCACACAATCTCATTGTGGAGCCGGATGCGATGTGGCCCGACTGGGCAGCGCAACGCGTGGTAGCCGGCGATGATGATGATGATGGTGATGATGGTGATGATGATGATGACGATTGTGGTAATGATGATGATGGTGATGATGGTGATGCTGATGCTGATGGCGATGTTGATGCTGCTGCTAATGAAGATGCAGATGATACTGAACATGGAAATGAAGATTATGATGGAAATGATGATGATGGTGGCCGCGATGATGAGGGTGATGATGATGGTGATGATGGTGATGATGACACTGATGCTGATAAGAATGCTGATGATGATGATGCAGATGATAATGAAGATGAAGGTGAAGAAAATGATGATGATTGTGGCGCTGATTATGGAGGTGTTGCTGCTGATGATCGTGCTGATGACGCTGCTGATGATAAAGAAGACGCCGATGATAATGAAGATGGAGACGAAGAAGATGATGATGCTGATGATTGTGATGATCATGACGATCATTGAGGTGCTGCTGCTGATGATGATGCTGCTGGTCACGATACTGATATAAATGGTGGTGATGATGGTAATCATGGTG